CTTTGACTGCCGTCTGGTAGTCGGAAAGGCAAGCACGAAGGATTTCTAGGGAGACATGGAGTTTATCCTTTTTCCATTTTCTCTCTGCACGCCTGCAAGCGCGTCTAAGATCACGAGTACAGTCATTGAGCCACGGCTCTGATACAACTTTGGCGCGGTCTAAGCGTAAAAGGAGCAACAGAATCCAGTATTAGTGTACATGTCGAATCAAACATGGAGATAAGCTCATCAGCATTAAAAGCACAGTTCACATCTAATTTACAGATCGGAGAAGCATTAAAAGCATCAGAGAACTGTGAGGCAGTCAAGGGGTTAATCGAACGCAGACGACGCGCCGGGGCACGTGATTCGACTCCTGCGGAAGGGATGGTGGTTGTAAACATAACCGGTAAATGGTCTGAGATACGCGTTGCTGCACATATTTCATCCACAGATACAGACAGTCCAAACGATAATACTAAGTCCAAAGTGTGACCTTTTTCGTGTGTTGGGCCAGCCACGGACTGAACGAGACCAAAGGAATCAAGGAGATTTAAAAAGTCCCTAACCAGAGGTTTGGACTCGCAACACACATGGACATTGAAGTCTCCGGAAATCAAAACACGATCATATTTCACCATGATCCCGGACAGAAAGTCAGAAAAGTCATTTATGAAATCCTTATTACACTTTGGCGGACGATACACGACTGCGCAGAGTATAGGCGAGGCCGGGTTCAGTTCAAAGAGCTGCAACTCAAAGCTGGCATAGCTAGATACAGGGTGAAGCATTCGGCATTGGAGGTTAGCTCTAAACACTGATGCTATGCCCCCACCATGGCCAGTGGCACGGGGGGAGCTGAAGAATGTACAGTCAGGAGGAAGAAGTTCAGAGAACGGTGTATACTCGCCAGCGTGGACCCAGGTCTCCGTCAGGAACATAAAATCCAGTTTACGAGAGGTGAAGAAGTCGTTTAGCAGGAACGTTTTGTTTGCTATCGACCTAGCATTTAGCAAAGCCATGCAAAGTTTTCGCTCCGGGCTAGCCGAAGGTGTAGTGCGTCTCAGCTGACGAAGATGTGCATGTTGAACGCCGCGCGGGCCGGGAGCAGTCAGTCGGGCAGGAGGAGCTGCCAGCGGGCCCCTCAGAGTCCGGAGCTCCGGAAAAACGGGGCGAATCCACCGATCCCTCACTTGGCGTGCAGCAGGAGGGCCGTGACATCCGAGGCGTGGATAATTCACGGAAGAAGCCGTCAGGTATGCCTTCAGATGGACCAGTGCACCACCACGCTTTCCCCGTCGTCGAAAGCGCTTTCGGCGAGGCAGGATGCAGGGCAACCTGCGCAGGTAGGTGGGGATATCCGACAGTAGAGGGGGGGGAGACGATTTATGGTTGCCAGATGTCGGTTTGGGCAGCAATATCAACTCCAGTGAGGGTCTGAGGTGGAGGAGAGCTTGGCGATCATAAACTAGCAGAGCAGAGACATTCTGACAAACATAAAACAAAAACAGGACAGCTAAAGTTAGAGAGCTTAGCGAGCGGCGAGCCGACACAGGCGCCATCTTGAATCACGTCACGTGATGGAGGTCAGGGGTTTCCTTTTCTTTTACAGAATGAACATTTATTCAGGTGAAATAATACCGCTGCCGCTATTTGTATATAGGGGAAACACTGCCCTTAATTCAAAATATACAATCTTGAGGGCATAAAGAGACGAAGAAAGAAATGTGCAAAAAGGTGTTAGCATTCAAATGTGTGCAGATTTAAAAAAGAAAGTGCTTCTTGTTTCAGAGTAACGTAAATATTATGTATCAGACTGATGTGAGGGACGTTAACGAGAGTCTGATGAACCCGGCTTGTTTTCCTCCCTTGAGCTCAGAGCAGGTCCCGGCCGCGGCGCTCCTCTTTGCGGGCCAGCTCCGGGTTCTTGCTCCGGTTCTTCCTGTGTTTCGCTCTGAAACGAGTTTTCACTGACGGCAGCTCGTTGAGGCGCAGATTCTCCTGCACCCACCCCGAGCTGCTGGCCTCCTCCTCCTCCTCCTCCTCCTCCTCCTCCTCCAGGGGGAAGAGCTGCTGCAGGGTGGAGGTCAGGTCGTCCAGAGGCTGCCTCTGCCGATCCTCCCCCGTCCTGTGGCTCTCTTGAGGGGGGATCTGGTGCAGCACGGCCTGAATGGCTTCGAACAGCATCACACTGCAGGGGTCCTCCTTCAGGAAAGGCCTCTTCTTTCCCCCGTACCTCATCCTGTGCACCAGCTGGTGAACCAACGTCCCTCAAACAACCTGAGGGATGGGTGGAGGTCAACTTAATATTTTATTTCATTGCAAAAATAGTTTGGATACAACTAGAACATTAGGTGTGCCAAGAGAGGAGATGTAAATGGTCTACAAAGGCTAAACGCCTCCATTGGACTCCTTTGTTTACTACTGGATCATACAGATGTAGCACTCCAGATAGGACTCCAGTGTACAGCTTCCTGCCTAAGACCTGCCTAAGACCAGCATCTGGGAATGTTAAGCCCTCCCACTATTTTCCAAGAGGGCGTTGCCAGATTTTCAATTTCAGGATTTAACCAGGAGATGGCGCTTCATTCATAAATACAGAAAGACAACTTTTCATGGACTTTCAGTTGTGTTTAGAAGAGCATTTGAACACATCAATATTTTAGATCAAATAAAGTATATCTAATCTTGTAATTCAATAATATATAGTCTTTATATATTAAATAATCATAATAATAATGTAAATGTTTACATTACACTTCTTTATTTGTCATGCGGTCTACCTATGCTGTAAAATGTATTATCTCTTCGATTTACACACGGCATCTATTGCACTTCTGTCCATCCTGGGAGAGGGATCCCTCCTCTGTTGCTCTCCCCGAGGTTTCTCCCATTTTTCCCTTTGAAATGTGGGTTTTTCTCTGGAAGTTTTTCCTTGTACGATGTGAGGGTCTAAGGACAGAGGGTGTCGTTTTCTCATACTGATATTCTGAACAAACTGTGCTGTTGTATTTGCTGTAAAGTGTCTTTACTGTAGGGTATTTTTATTATATGTACAGCACTTTGGCTCGACAAAAAATTGTTTAAAAATTTGCTATATAAATAAAACTTGATTTGATTTGATTTGATGCTCATACTTTTACCTTTAAAAATCGTTTGCTTTAATATGCAGTATATTTTTTGTATATTTTTGTGTTTGCTTCCTCCTGCTCCCTTTCGGACACATACTGTATGATTTATTATTATTATTAATATAAAGATATTATTAAGATAAGATAAGATGTTACTTTATTGATTGAACATTTTAGTTTAGAATGTGCTATCCCACGGTAATTCAGAAGGCTCACAGGTCACATTCCGACCATTATTTAAAACAATAGGTGCTTTCATAATAATGATGAGAAACTATGAAATAAGAAATTAATCAAATTAAAATGTAATTATCATATCATATATTATATAGTGTATTGTATTATTAAGTAATATCATGCATTAACCCCATTATAGCAGATGCCACATTGAATGGATGAACACATTTATGCATCAATAATTACAGAGTATTTCTAAATACAAGTTGTAAAAATACTTATATGTATTTAATACTAATAACATAATGATTAATTTCAGATGATAATACTTTTCAGTGTCTGTCTCATGCAGCAGCTGATCCAGTAATGAGTGACCCGGCCGACAGTAAAAATAAACATTTATAACTAGTTTAGGTAGTTTGAGAGGTAATTAAAATAGCTAAGGGTGATGATCTGACTTGAAGTGTGTGTTTTGCTCCTCCCGCTGCTTCACAGCATACACTGTGTATATCACCATTCTTTAATTAAATGTTTGATAAGTGCATGCAGATCACAGTACAGTAAAACACGTACACAGATACATTATTTTGTATTTTTATTAAAGTGGACCTATCATGCTATATTTAAATGATATATTGTAGGGCCATACCTATATAAGGTATATTTATTAGGGCTGTCAGTCGATTAAAATATTTAATCGCGATTAATCGCATGATTGTCCATAGTTAATCGCAATTAATCGCAAATTAATCGCACATTTTTCATCTGTTCTAAATGTACCTTAGAGGGATATTTTTCAAGTTTTTAAAGGGCCCATGTCATGGCCATTTCCACTGATCATAATTACATTGTTGAGGTATACTAAAATAGATTTATACTGTGCAATTTTCCAAACTCACATTGGTTTCGCATACAGCATCTCTGTCAAGTATGTGTATTCAGCAGTATTCACTCTCTCCACTAAACGACTCGTTGGAGCTCTTGCCCCCCCCCCTCCCTGTGAGCCTAGTGTGCTCCGATTGGTCAGCTCGGCCACTCTGTTCTGATTAGTCAACCACCAGAGAGGCTCCGCCCGCTTTTTTCGGGGAACATCAGTCTTATAATGGCGTCGGTACAGCCGTATATTTTATACACTAACTAACCGAACTGTACCTACAACTGTTGTTATAGAAGAGTGTGACGGCCCCAGGGCCTTTGTGCAGGTGTGTTGCAGGTCTTACGATGGGGTGGAGCTGAAGAGGCTAATCAGCGCGATCACGGACACCTCCGTAGCCGAGGTGCTATTAAGCCCAGCTGCCCGGAGTCACACGGCGGCCCGTCTCTCTCCAAAGCGGCTCGGCGATTCTCTCCCCTCGACCACCTATCTCTGCATTTACCACAATAAATGTGCCGTGGTTTTGTAAACTCGTGTATGTCTCCTTGTCTTTCCGTTGTGGCCTACGAGCCGGTCATAACAAAGAGTAAGTTATTTTTACCTGTAATAAACTACTACTGTTTGATGAGAAATCAAATCATGGTTTGCTATATATGAATGATATGTTATAGGAGCAAATAATTCAGGGAAGAAAGGATAGGCCTACTAAGTATTTCCATTCAACTTTATTTTTAGAAATGTACAAAATGAACATAAATATACATATATCATCCATTCCTCCCCGCATCTTGCCTGGGCGCAGCCGGTGCTTTTTAGGACGAGGCCTCAGTAGTAGTAGTCCCGTCCCCGTCATGTATTGTCCGCCAGGATCTGGCTGGACGAAATCAAATGCAAATCACAAAATATTAGAGAAACTTAGTTGTTTTAGATTCGTTAGTAGTAGTTGTGGTAGGAGTGTGGATCTATCTAATCCATCTAATGAACAGCTTGCCAGCTAATATGCTAACCTAGCTTTCTTGTTTACTTTGGTAGCTAACACGATATGAACGCTAGCTCGGAGGAACGGCAACTATAATGTAGTGTAATAAAACTACTATGAACAAAAGCTAGTGGTTCATATTAGGCTAGCAATAACGTGTTTATAATTGCAATCTTATACGGGTATTCTGCTACGTTCGGTCATACATTGTAACTTGCATGAATACATTGTTTTGCGCTAGCATGTATAGCTAGCCTCGTTAGCTATACATGCAGTATGTACATGTACTGTCACAATGTACGGTAAATCACCCGGAGTATACTGTATGAGTATTCCGTGTGTGTGACTGCAGACATTCTCCTGCCATGACAAACATGTAAGGCCATCTGCTGACATTGTAGTTGATATATTTAAACGCTAGCAACGTAGCATAACACAAATGTTTTTCCGACCAAACCCATGTCTAGCTCCGTCGGTTAGATCGGTAGCATACACGCTACGCCAGCTATAATGTAATTACGTTTCGCGACTGACCGCACGGCAAATCACCCGGAGTATATTGTCAATAGGTATTTTGTGTGTGAATGCAGACATTCTCCTGCTATGAGATACATGTATGCAAGGCCATCTGCTGATATTAGAGTTGATATATGGAAACGCTAGCAACTTAGTTAGCACAGTTAGCACTGTGTCAATGGCTTAGCAGTCCAACACAGTTTACACATTTAAACAGTCTTGTTTGATAAATACACAAATAACAATGCAAACTTACAGGTTGTGTACCCGAATCTTCCCCTGCTCCAAACGGTCCAAACAAACTAGGAATAGCATCGTCCTTGAGTTTCAAATGCTGTGCATATCCGGCCTCAAACTGGGCAATGTTTTGGAAGCTTTCGTCTGTGAAATGCCGGTTCTTCGAACCTCTGAAGGAACAGTGTTAAAAAGACATTTCAACCACTGACTTCGTCGTGGTTCTTCCGTCGGTAGGACAAACAGCTCAGGTTTCTCCTCACATTTCAGGAAACAGGTCCTTGGCAGTGGCATGACTGGATCGATTGTGAACTGAACCAGAGCTTCCAACAGTAAATGTTAGGCTGGCAGAGGGTGCGGCCAGCGCCGCTGGGTGTGGCCATAGCTCTTCGGGATTGGTCCATTTCGTTCCGGGTACCGCATGACATCATGCCGTACCCGGAACTAAATGGAAGACTCAAATGGGCAGTGACGTATCTCCAACGAGGCGTTTTGGGGAGGTATTTTCTGTGTTAGAGTTTTACTCGCTACAGGGTGTACTTTGAGGGTTTTGACTCTGCACACCGTTTACATGCATAAAAACCTTCATAACACACAAGGGGACGGGTAATAACCGGAAAAGCATGACATGGGAGCTTTAATACTCTTATCAACATATGAGTGGACAAATATGCTTTATATGTTTGTTTATTATCATTTGAACAATGACAACCCCCTAACCCTATTAACCCTATTAAACACAACAACCTCTGAACATTACAAATATTCGCCTCAATTCAACCTGGAACCTCTCTCATACAATAATACAATAGATAGATAGATAGATAGATAGATAGATAGATAGATAGATAGATAGTACTTTATTGATCCCAAATTGGGAAATTGTTGTTGTTGCAGCAGCATAACAGGCATTTTACAATAAAACAAAACTACAAAATATACAAGAATAGAAAGAAAAATAAAATATAATATAAAATATAAAATATACATGTCGAAATAGAAAATATACATGCAGATATTATATATATATATACAAATATATATATATATTCAAATATATGGAATATGGAGTATAAATATTGAACAGATTATAGAGTAAAATGTACAACGTGGTTTTATTCCAAGAGAAACTATGGAGCAGAGAGTTCTCTTTCAGCCAGAGGTGATTTATTGTACAGTATTATAGCAGTGGGCAGGAATGTTTTCCAGTATCTGTCCTTGTGACAGCGGAGCTGCAGCAGTCTGTTGGAGAAGGAGCTCCGCTGACTGTCCAGCTGCAGGTGGAGAGGATGGCTGGGGTTATCCATGATGGACAACAGCCTGTTCAGTGTCCTCCTCTCCACCACAGCTTCAAAGGGGTCCAGCTTGATGCCGATGACTGACCCAGCTTTCCTGATCAGTTTATTGATCCTGCTGGTGTCACTGGCTCTGATGCTGCCCCCCCAGCAGACCGCAGCAAAGAAGAGTGCACTAGCCACAACAGACTGATAGAAGATCTCCAGCATCTTACTGCATACGTTGAAGGATCTCAGCTTCCTCAGAAAATAGAGTTGGCTCATCCCCTTCTTGTACACAGCGTCAGTGTTGATCCTCCAGTTCAGCCCATTGTCTAAGTGCACTCCCAGGTACTTGTAGACCTCCACAACTGCCACATCCTCTCCTAGAATGCACAGGGGCAGAGGAGGAGATGTCCTCTTCCTCCTGAAATCAATGACCATCTCTCTGGTCTTGGCCACATTCAGAAGCAGATGATTTCTTCCAGTCCACTGAACAAAATCACCCACCAGCGCTCTGTACTCCTCCTCCCGTCCATCCCTTATACACCCTACCACTGCAGAGTCATCCGAAAACTTCTGCAGGTGGCATGACTCTGAGTTGTATTGAAAGTCAGAGGTGTATAAGGTGAACAGGAAAGGAGACAGCACAGTCCCCTGTGGGGCTCCAATACTACCAACCACCACATCAGACAGCACACTGCCCAGCCGGACGTACTGTGGTCTGTCCGTGAGGTAGTTGGTAATCCAGGAGATGGTGGACGAGTTTACCCTCATAGCCTGCAGCTTGTCACTCAGTAGCCGAGGCTGGATCGTGTTGAATGCACTGGAGAAATCAAAAAAGGTGATTCTCACAGTGCAACCCGATCCATTCAGGTATGAGTGAGCACGCTGCAGCAGGTAAATAATGGCATCGTCCACCCCCAGGTGAGGCTGGTAGGCAAATTGCAGAGGGTCAAGGAATGATCTACCAGGAGCTGCAAGCAACAGGCAGCCACCAGCACGGCGCCGAGTCAGAAAAGTGTGTGTGTGTGTGTGTGTGTGTGTGTGTGTGTGTGTGTGTGTGTGTGTGTGTGTGTGTGTGTGTGTGTGTGTGTGTGCAGGGCCGTATCCACCATTGAGGTCACCGAGGTCCGGACCTCGGTAATTATTTCCGAGCTGCGTATAAAAAAACTTGTGAAATAACGGCACTAAACGGGGTTCTTTGTAGTACTTCCATTTACTGACAATGGGGGCGCTGCATAACTACGTAGCCTCGATTAAAGCAAACAGAAGAAGACGACATGTATCAACAAACCACCGCAGCCCGCCCCGGACTTGTATCGGAGCAACAGAGGAGTGATGAAGTATCTAGAGATCTGAGTCCAGCGGGCTGCTTGTGTTTCTGTTCATCAGGACATCATATGACCAGCAGATGCTGTGTGAACGCACTACGTTAGTCAGTGGACGTCCGACAACATGCACTAACTTATATTGCAGCTATAGGCTATACTTTGGTTTACATTGCATGAATAAACTAGCTAGAGAGCTAAAGTTAATTTCATTCATCCAATGTCAGAAGGATTACATTTTAATAAACATTTGAATGCTTTTCTTTCATTTCAATTTGAGTAAAACATTGAAGATATAACATTGTATTGTTTTCTTTTTACACTGACTCAGATATAATGAAAAGACTACGTCAGTCGAAGCTCAGCTTTGGTCAGGAAGAGACAGGACAGGCAGAGAGAAAGAGAGAGAGAGAGAGTAGGTGATGGAAATCAGGGAGGAACTGCAGATACAGTCACACAAAAAGAATGTAGGCTTAATAACCCCATCTATCTAGCTATCTATCTATTTATGTATCTATTTATGTATCTATCTATTTATCTATTTATCTATCTATCTATCTATCTTCATTTACACTATAGACCAGGGGTGGGCATTTTACGGCCCGCGGGCCACATCCGGCCCGTTGGCCGGCCTTGGCCGGCCCGTGTGAGGTTGATCATAAATTATAACATAATGAAAAAAAACAGCAACCTTTTCAAAATAAAAGCAACACAGCTGTATTGCTTGCATGGCGTAAATACTTTTCTAACTGTGTTGCTTTTATTTTGAAAAGGAAGCTGCTGTTTTTTTTATTTATTTACGTAAACGCGCATGCCGTAACAGCTACTGTACGAGTGATGCTGGCCGGCTAGTCCTCGAAATGTCCGCTAAGGGCAAAAAAAGAAAGATCGATACTGAATGCCGCGTTTTCAACAAGACATGGACCGCTAAGTATTTATTTACAGAAGTGAAAGGTAAAGCTGTGTGTTTAGTTTGTGGTGCGCAGGTCGCTGTGTTCAAGGAGTACAATTTGAGTCGCCACTATGCTACCAAACACGCAGATAAATACAAGAACCTGTCTGAGGAAGAGTGGGCAAAGGGGTCGGATGCTTTGCTAGCTAAGCTGCAAAGCCAACAACACATTTTCACAAAACATTCCACATCCAGAGATGCAGCTGTCAAGACGAGTTATGTCTTAAAAGTAAACCGTTTTCGGACGGAGAGTTCATTAAGGAGTGTTTGTTGGACACTAATATGCCCGGAGAAAAAGGAGGCATTTGAGAAAGTGCCGCTCTCCCGACGCACTGTTACGAGGAGAATTGAGGACATCGCGGGAAATCTGGAGCTTCAGCTGCAGAACAGAGCGGTCAACTTTGACTTTTTTTCCTTGGCTTTGGATGAGAGCTGCGATGTACGTGACACTGCCCAGCTACTCATCTTCCTACGTGGGATAACTACAGACTTCAAAATCACGGAGGAGCTGGCAGCCATGCAGTCAATGAAAGGGACAACAACAGGGAGTGATTTGTTCACGGAGGTAAATGCATGTGTGGAAAAGTT